TTTGATCGAATCTTAATGTGAGGGTATCTTTACCTATTTGTTTATCTACTTTTAGTTTGAATCCCTTGAACTTTTCAAAAGTTCATGTTTGAGTTTTCATCAAGTATATGACCATTGATGAAATAAGAGAAACATTACCTGACATTAATTGACATGAGTCCATATGTATAATTATGCATTAGACCATTAATTATGCCGACCTTTCTTCTTTTCAAGTAAAAAGAAGATTTGGTCATTGTGCCAGACATGCATAATTTATACTTGTCAAAATCAATTAATCCCAAGTATACATCTCTATGTAACTTTGAAATTACTTTTCATCTATATGACAAAGTCTGTCATGCCAGATTTCGATAATAATTAGATTATCGTATTTATGCCTTATAATTTCTATACTCATTATAGAATATTTAGTATTAAAGAATATAAACGTCGTTTTGTAATTTACCATAGTCATTATGATCTTTATCAAAATAAACAAGAACAACTATTATCATTAACATTAAAATAGTTCATGTCGGAATATGAAATTTATTTTAATGTTCCAGCTATGGTTGGTATAAAGTGACATTTCTTTAATTCCAATACTAAACCAAAAGGCAATGGCAAGAAGTATATTCATACAAGCAATGTAGCAACCTTTGCTCATCTCCAACGTGTATGTCAACTTCTCATTTTCACAGTGGTTTACTTTTTTTTAGTTTTTCCATATTTGTATAAATATGAGATTTATATCTGGTATCAAATACCTAAAAAACTCTTGAATTAGACATAAGACACGCCATACTTCTTCCAATGACCTTTCATTCTATAATGAAATCAAGGGTCATTAGATTTGGTATTGTCCTTCGCTTAGACTGTCTTAACCATATTGGGTGCTTTCCCAAAATCCCTTTAGATTTCCTCTTAATACTCTTAGAGGAATCAATGGTTTGCCAACTACCAACTTTGAGAAAGGGTTTAATAGTCCTAAACATGTCAAACAACTTAATGAGTATGCATTCGAGCTTATTCATATCAAATTCATAATTAGTTATGAATAGCTTTCTCTGACAGAGATTGCAGAATCAAGTCACTACTTAGTTCATGGTTTATGATTGAACTCAATCGAGACATTTCTCAACGTCAATCATCTTTAGCGTCTAAGTATTGATTGAAGATTACTCTGTTATTTTGCATTGGTATAGTTGTTTGGAAGTCTCATATCCTTCTACACATAATTATTATCATACAACTCTTTGTAATGAAGAATTATGTGTTAACATCTATACTCTCAAATTGCTTTTGTAACTCAGTGACATAGTTGCAAGCATCACATGCGTGCAATACTATCTCATCACTGTGTTTATTGTAGTAGCCAAATTTTCCTTAGTTGAGTCATCATGAGGTGTTACTGGAAAATGGCTACTTAAGGACAACCAACTTTCTCATATTTGAGAACAATTCTCAAATTACAGTGCTATTCAAAAGATTTAATTTGGTTGTTGGCATCCAGTATGCCATTCAAAACATATGGTTACTCAGGATTCAATAAATATAAATGACGAAAAGAAAAAGAATAATATATAAAATGTATCAATTAATTGAACATTGACTTTTATTAAATTAATTATACTCCCACTGTTTAAAAAATTTATGACCCTCTTACAAAAACTTATGGAGTCCATACTTAACTCCCAGTGGACTGAGATCCCATCTATTATATTAAGACATTGAGTATACTCAACAAGTCTTAATATAACATTTGGGTAGATACTATTATCAATTATATCTCCATACAACTCCCAGATCATTAAACTGACAACTCTTTATTTTCACACATCTTATGTGTTAGTTTAATATGCTTCTAAAATTTATCTCCTTGAGTATACTCAACAAAAGATAAATTTTAGTTAAGTCAAACCCGTCATTCAGAAATATGAAATATTTTATAGTATCAAATATATTCCTAATGGACCAGCCTTGAGTGTACTCAACAAGTTGAGACGATTTGAGACTCTGATTTTTCACTATAATAATGGAAGGCGATTATAAATGTGACTTAATATTTTATGGAGTGATTTTGCATTTAAAGGTCTCATAAAAAAAAATATATATATATATATATCTATATATATATATATATATAAAATTTCAAATATGTGGAGAGATAATAATGTTCGCAGGTAACTTACGTCTTGTAAATGATGTATGTGGAAAAAATAAAAAAAAAAAAAAAAAAAAAAAAAAAAAAATATATATATATATATATATTATTATACATCTACAATGCAAATAAATATATATAACATAATATAATAGTGTGGACGATTATGGACTTTACTATCTAGTCTTCTTGAACCAGAAGGAAGACTAGTTGGTCAATTCTTAGGGGGTATTACATTAATTAATAACAATGCACCATCTTCATGGTCTCTTCTTTTTCTTATTTATTCAATTAGTCTAGTTGCAACTTGTATCTTATATTAGTTGGCACGCAGGCCTAAATGAAATTGGACTCCCAGGCCCATAACAACAATAATAATAACAGACTCGTAGGTCCAAAATGATCAAGTGCTCGCAGGCCCAAAATAATAACAATAATAACGGGCTCGCAGACCCAAAACAATTAAAAGCTCGCAGGCCCATAAAACGACAAGAATAAAAATTAACTATTCAACATATCCATATGGTCGAGTCCATAATTGTCCACTAATAATACATTCATCACATAAATGTATACCTATATAATATCTAATATTATATGCAATATAATTTCAAGTTTCTAGCAATTAAGTCGTCTAAACTTTTTTAGACAAATGGATCGAAATAATTAAATAATTAATTAATCATATCAATTGATTATTTAATTAGCGGCATGCTTAATTAAAATTAAATTTTAATTAAATACCGAATTAGAGTCGACTCTAATTCAACAATTGTAGGGCGGGATTGTTTAATTAAAATCAAATTTTAATTAAATATCAAATTAGAGTCCAACTCTAATTTCATAACTTAAGGCAGTTGAGTTTAATTAAAATCAAATTTCAATTAAATAACAAAATTAGAGTCTAACTCTAATTCCAATATTTAAGGGTGAATTTATTTAATCAAAATCATATTTCAATTAAATACCAAATTAAAGTCCAACTCTAATTCCAAGAAAAAATTTAGGACGACAAAATTTAATTAAAATCAAATTTTAATTAAATATCAAACTAGAATCCAATTCTAATTTCTAGAATATATTCGGGTGAGTAATTAATTAAAATCAAATTTTAATTAAGTTTCTAATTTAAATTGAATTAATATTTTAATCTAGGATAACATTCTAAATAAAATAAAATTCAATTTAGGGTCAAATTTAATATTTAAGTTAAAATCATATTTTAACGAAAATATAAAAGTCATCAATTTTAAATAAATTTTTTACTTAGGGTCAAAATTAAATTTATGGGTCAAAACTATTAAAATACATTTTAAAAACCCATTTAAAATTCAAATTCAAAATTCATTTTTGAAATTTGCAAAGTGGCCCAAGTTTAGAATTAAAAGGTTGTCCTTCAATTAACTTAATAGCATGACATGTCCTCCAATTAAAATTGCAAAGCTACCCTCGTTTAATTGTAGATAGCCCCCTTTACATTTCATAAATTGCAAAGAGGTCCCCCTTTTAAATTTGCAAATTGACCCTTTCCTCTAATTACAAGTGGCCCCTTTAAATTTCAGAAATTACAATACAAGCCCCCGTCTCCAATGGAAATCGACTATGAACCCTAAAATAAAAAAATAAAAAAAATTATTCTCTATGGTTGGCGGCGCCGCACAACCCACCCAAGCCAACACTCGCGCACCTTCGGGCGGTGGGCTTCTGCCAAGCACTGCTACAGCCAGCGGCAGACGCCGTTGCCTGGCAGTGGCGTCTGCTACCGCGCCATCGCCGGCAGCAACTGTTGCTGCCGGCACCCCTTTTCCCATTATTTATTTATTTTAAAATCAGAACGAGATTTCAATTAAAAAAAAAAAACTTTCTTAATTGCTAGATCCATGAAAAATTATAACAATCAACATTTGATTGTTCAAACATATTATATAATTTCTATCAAACACAAAATAGGCTCTGATACCATTGTTGGGAATCTACTTATACATGCACAGCGAAAAATTAAAATTATTTCGATTCCCACCGATGATCCCTTTGTGTTTAGATAGAAATCGTGATAAAGATTATATATTTGAAGAATTCTGCAGACTTTTTGCTTTTCTTTTCGTTCCAACAATCTTGATTCGTCACCCACAGTTGTCTAATAGTCCAACCTCCAATGGTGATCCACATAGAAAACAAGATTGCAGATTCTAGGGTTTTTCCTCTTGTGCCAGCGAGAATTATGAAAAATCATATGGAATGAAAACCCTAGCAATGTATTTATATAAGTCCAAACGGGCCTGGTCCGGTCCGATCCAATATTTAATTAATATATTTAATTAAATTCGGTCCGTGAATTAATTAATCTAATTAATTAATTCGAGCCTATAAATAACCAACCAAATTAATTAATTTATCCAATGATTGTTAAATTAATTAATTGACAAATTGCAATTTCCCAATTCTATTTTGTGTGTGACCCATTAGGTTCCCGATCACGATTTCTAACTACGTGAAATATTATTTTGATCTAATCAAAATTGATAAATTAAAACACCATTTTAATTTATCGTCAATTCGCACTCGCCGTCCTAAATTGACATCTAGCAATGTGTCAGGGTAATACATGTGACGGAAAATGTCATGTGGTATAACAAAATCAAACTCGTTCGTTTACCGTGAAACTATAGTCCTTTTGTCAATATGATCATATCAATTACGAGATATGGAAGTGTGTCAATCCTGAATATTAAGTCAATATAAGTCGAAAACTCCTTTTCGACTTATAAGTATACCTTGGCCAAGGATTTCGTTATCAACTTAATTGAATGAAACGCAGATCATAATCTCCTACTATCTAAGAGTGACGAATCCTTTATTGGTCAATCACAACCTTCACACGATTTTTGACATACCCAAACGATGTCCTATCAGCGGCCCTTTGCAAAGCAACATCCAATACCTTTAAAGTATGACTGTCCTCATATAAGGTACCATGACGACCTCAAGTCAAAGGACCAATTCCACTACCGAACGTTAGAGATTAACCACTGACACTCAGATAGTTACCCATGTGGAATCTCTCGACGGGTCTCCAATGTTTTCTTCTATAACAAAACATTCACGTGTTCATTTAAGTGTCACCACACTTTAGTTTGTGAGATCAGCTACTTACTTCACAAGTAAGAAATGTCACACCTGATGGTCTATCCGTAATAACGAAATCCATATCTCGTTATAACTTACGACCACGGACGATTTAAGATTTAATCAGATGTAATTTGTATCTCACAATCACAACTCCTTGTGATTAACAAATTACGAAAATTTGAATCTAAGGACTCTATTATTTATTTAATTGTCTATTAATTA